CGATCCATCTCAGACCATCCCGTCTGTATTTTTCACGTATTTATTCAGGAGTAAATTACACCATCCATACGATCACAACTTTGAGTCTTGGATAATTGGATGTCGTCTAGCTACCCAGCAATTGAGAACGAATTGATTATATATTCGAGTTATCTGTAGTGACAAGTATTCAGTAGCGTATGCATTAAGATGGAAATTCGTTAGTTGGCGATTCTTTAGGCCATATGTTCCACTCATCTCCTATAAATAGTTTTTACACTAATGTTTTTATTTTCAATTTAGGCCATCAGCCACTAGATGGAATGTCTTATCTCATCCAAATAGAGGAAGATAATCGAGCGGACTCAATAATTGAGATTATTATTTTTAATTTTTTAGAAAAAATATGTATTTTAATTTACTTATTCCTTATTCTCTTTGGTTTACAAATATGAAAATGGTGTTAAATTAAAACAAAAAAATAATTACAGAAAACAAACAACAATAAAAGAAGTCTAAAAACGTAGTACTGAATATTAAGTATTAACATAGTAAATTTAGTGATTTTTATACAAAAAATTCAAATGAAATAAATCTTTAATTAGTGTCACTAATGCAAAAACAATCGGTGGACTGGATTTGAGATAAAATTAATTAAAAATTTCAAAAAATAGAAAAAGGTAATTAAAATTATATTAGTAAGTTCTGAACACAACGGTTCAGTGTGAACTTGACAATGTTTACAATTTTTAGGATAATAGAACTCAAAAAGATACTTCTAACGAGATATAAAATGCTTGAAACAAAAGAACATATAGCAAGTTATTATCAAATCAAATTCTTAGTCTTTTTATGTAAATATAACATTTTCATAGGAAATAGAACATATTTGACATAACTAAAGTCTTGGATTTGAATTTCAATGCATAAGGTACACATCCTGTAAGATCTGAACACTCAGTTTTAAAAACAAAGCCTAAACACGAGTTTTATAATTCAATAAGATCTGAATATGAATTTTAGAAATCAATAAGATATTTCCCGCGAGTTATAAACGCTTAAAACGGAAAAAAGTAAGGCACAATATGATCAAGTTAAATTGTACTACCTTTGTACACAAATTAAATTCCAGAGTACATTTGACAAGATTAATACAATACGTAGTGTGTGATGGAAAGTTGTGCAAAGGAGAGAGATATGTGTAAGAATTGTAAGAATTGTTATGAACCATAAATTCTTTACCATAAAGGAAAAGTGGAAGTTTATTTTGGTAGGTTAATACATACCTATTCTTTATTACGTTGTAAATAAATTTTGAGTAGGAGTTTAAAACTCAAAAGGTCTTTACAACGAGATATAAAACACTTGAAATGAAAGAATATACAAAAAGATATGATCATAAATACATATTATTCGTAAATATGGCATAAATATAGCGTAACTAGAACCGATGTTCTAAAAGGCGCTATGCACTAGTCGGGCGGTGACTGGTCGCCTAGCGCCTAGCCCGCAGCCTGCCTAAGCGGGCGTTTAGGCACCGACTAGAGCGCCTAGGCATTTCTTCTTTTTTTCCCAATGAATTTCAAAGATCTTTACTAATAATTTTATAATATTTTGACAATAGAAATAGCTCATATAATCATTAAATGTTATGATTTTTGCATTAAAACTATAAAAATGAAATAATTAATAGATAAATAGGAGATTTGTGATTTTTAGTCTCTAAAATTGGTAATGTACATTCTAAAAAGTTGATATAGATTTATAAATTATTTTTTGATGTGGGAATATGATAATTAATTTATAGGAACCGAATACTTATTGATCAAACAGTGTTTTAAGAAAAATGGAAAAAATAAGTTGGGTCGGGAACAAATTTAGCCCGGGCCACCTAGCGGCCGCCTAGCCGGCTTAGGCGGCCGACCGATTTTTTCCACCGACAAATTAACAAGAAACCGGGGCGTCCGGCCACCGCCTAGTGACTAGGCGACGCCTAGATCGGTGCCTAGGCCGATTTTTAGAACCATGCATAGAACATATTTACTAAGTGGTCTCACAATGATATCCACCACGCGCAGTCTATTAACAAAATCTCACAGCCATAATGCCCTCAAGTTCCATGGTGAAAGTAAGTGTAAGAGTCCACTTGTTCTATGTAAATATTGCATGGTCATTTTGGCTACTTTCCAATAGTTCATCCCCGAATTGCTCAAAAATCTGACTAACATATATCTCAACAATGTATGTCAAATTAGGTCTTATACAAACCTGACCATACATCAAACTCCCTATACCCAAAGCATAAGAAATGTTCCACATTTCTTTATATGCAAAACAATTCTTTAGTCACCAACTGCCAATTCAACAAATGAATACATTAGGAACGGATTACATAAAAGTAATATCGCAATGCCCCGATTCTGTTTAATCGGCAGATTACATGACAAAAGATTTGCCAGAAACTCCAAATAATCCAATGTGAGAGAGGCCCTGATAGAAATTTTTGGAATAAATTCATGCATTAACACTTTAACCATCATATTGAAAAATTCTAGAGAAATAACTAAGCGGAAGCACCTGACTCCATTAGAGGTGATCGATCCAGGCAATGACGTCTAGATGTGTCTTCTAACTGATACACACCCTTAGTGTCGTTTCTCTCTCTAGCAACTGAATGAAGAAAGATGTAACGGGGTGTTCAATTAGGGATGGTAACCCTTGCATTTATCGAAAATGTTAACTCTAATAAATACATCATTAATTAGGATTAAGTCTATGAATCTCTACGCATTTGTGTCATATACTTTACAAGACAACATATTAATCATATAAATTAATATTCCCCATTAATTTTTGGATCCAAACATAAGATATCATATACGGAGTAGCCCGCATAAATACAATAACAATATATTGTGAATATTCATGTCGTAATGCCGTATGAGTCACCAAAATAAGTTTCGCGTCTATAAGTTTTTTCCAAAATTGACGTTAAGTAATTAAATTGTTCCTTCAAGAAATTTTAAAATTGAGACATAAAATTTTGATAAGCAAGTAGCACATTTGTCCGCATCTTGATAACTATTAAATATAATCTAGTTGCCATATGAATAAAAGTAGTATAGCTAAGCACTAAAAGCAATTGCACAAACCACAAAGCCTAGCAACAAGAAGGGAAAACAATAAAAAAAAAAGGAAAACAATAGGTCACAAAGACTATTCAAACATATTTTGTCTGTGAATCGGATTCACAGACAAAAAGATAACCTTCACAAACATGATGAATATAAGGTGATATAAGGGTGATGAGTACAATAAGAATGATTGAAGATGTTTTTTCACTCACACCAAGGAATGGTATGGTGAACAACATCTCTTCAAAACTTTTTTTTGTGAACTTATGTGTATGTCATACATGAAATTTTAACATAATAGCAATAGTCATACTAGTATAATATAACTTGTATAGTAAGTTGTAACACACTGCATATGTATCATAATTACGTTTTTTCAAAATAAGTATAAACTCCATGCACAAATAATATTCCAATTAGAAATAGATAGATAATACATTAAGGCTCTGTTTGGTTGGAGAGTTTCAGAGGATATGGGAGGAAAGTGGGGGATTTGTGTGTGATTGGTTGAAGGAAATAAGTGGGGAAGGGGGGAAAAGTGGAGGGCTTTCAAAATTCTCCACTTCCTCTCATTCTAAACCCCCCAAATTGGGGTATTTCAGAGAAAAACGTGTTGATAATCACAAACTATCCATCTTCTACGTGAATGAACAAAACATTATGATATAAAAAGGTAAAAAATGAAAAGTTTTGAAAAATTAAAAAATTTAAAAATTAAAAAAATTAAAGATTAAGAAATTTAAAAATTAAAAAATTAAAAATTTTAAAAATTTAAAAATATAAACATTATAAATTAAAAATTTTAAAAATTAAAAATAAAAAAATTTAAAAAATAAAAATAAAAAATATAAAATTCCAAACTGAAAAATGAAATATTATAAAATTATAAAAGTAAAAAATCAAATAAAATAAAATTATGACTCATGACCATAGGAGTAATATTCACAATAGTTAGACATGTATCTATTTTTTTAAGTAAGCTATCAAATAAAAGTAAATTGCGAAAATATTTTCATTAAACCTTTCCTCATATTTTCTCCAACCAAACAATTTTTTTTATCAACATCCTTCCTTCTCCTTCCCTTCCCTCCTTGACACCCCCCCTCCGTTGAACCAAACAAGGCCTAAGCAATATCTGACATTTTGTTTGTTTTAGTTACAAGAACTCGCAAATAATTGCTTTAAATTTAGAGATCGTTTAGCATTTCACTCTCATTAGTCAATTTTTTAACAAATATGTAATGATTTCGCGGATTAAAATACGTAATAATCAAAATAAGTCATGTTAAAGTTATTGTTCTATATGATTTGATTGAAATTATTGTAGATGAACATTTTAGCTATTGGACATATACTTTTTCTTAATTGTAGATCAGTCAATCCAATCACTTCAGTATGAATTTCATCAATTTCAATACATTCAACGGATTCGTTCAATTTCGGTGTTAGAAAATGAGCGTGCAACATTCCTACTCATCTGTATGGAGTCATCTTGATCATGAGTTATGACTTTGCTATTCATAAATCATAATCATCCAAAGATTGCCTTATAATTATTATATCAAAATACTAGAAAATTCATAAATGAAATACCATATTAATTAGTGCAAGGTATACAAGTAGAAACATTTCAAACATTACACGATAATAAATTAATAATAGCCCACAATATTTGGCATGTGCTTGATATTTAATACTGTATCACCCATGCTTAATAAACATAATATTATACGGCAGTAATTAAATAAGAAGCGTGGGAAAAGAATTGGAGTGCGGTAAATGTCCCATTCCATCCCGCGTGGGAAATTCGTTAGGGAGAGAGATCCGCGGAGTTATGTATCATTCCCACCACCTTAACAACCACGTTTTCCAAACTGGTGTTCTCTCCTTAACTATCACGTGCGCTTTTCCCCAAACTACCCGTAATCATTACAACAATCGACTACTACTTTCAAGCTCTCGCCTTCCTTTCTTGATTTCCAACCTTTATTACAAGAACCCCAAACATTTATTATATCTCCAAAAATAAAAATTGGTCAGCCCATCTCTCTCAATCTCAGCCGTTCAATTCGTTTCCAAAAACATAAATTTGGAAACTGCGCAGCCTTATATATTTGCAACTCTACAAGTTTACTTGCCCAAACGGCCAAACCCTTCCTTCTTTCCTCTGTTTTTTCCTTAAACTTTTCTTTTCAAGAAAATCAAGAAATTATAGACATGGATTGGCTTCGTGGTGAAGCAGTAGGGCATGGGAGTTTCGGGAGAGTAAGCTTAGCGAGGGTCGCTGGAGTTGGATCGCCGGCGATGGTCGTCAAGTCTTGTGGGGCCTCCTCTGTTGGTTCGTTGTTGAACGAGAAATTCGTTTTAGACGAGCTCCAACGTTGCCCGGAGGTTATACGGTGTTTCGGAGACGGCTACAGTTTCGAGAACGGCGAGAAGCTGTACAATGTCTTGTTGGAATTCGCCTCCCGCGGCGCTCTGTCCGACAACCTCAGGAACTCCGAGAGCCGGCGGTTTCCGGAGAGCGAGATCAGGGGATATTCCAAGGCGCTTCTTCGCGGGCTTCATTATATTCACAAGGTTGGGTTTGTTCACTGTGATATTAAGCTTCAGAATGTGCTGTTATGCGGCGACGGCCGGATCAAGATTGCCGATTTCGGGTTGGCTAAGAGGGCCGGATCGGGTGATTCGGGTTGCAAATTGAGGGGTACGCCAATGTATATGTCCTCGGAGATGGTGAACGGCGGAGAACAGGAAGCTGCGGCGGATATATGGGCGCTCGGATGCGCGGTGGTCGAGATGGCCAGTGGAGCTCCGCCGTGGACGTACTCCGATGTGGCGGGGCTTTTGATGCGAATTGGAGTCGGAGAAGAGGTGCCCGGATTTCCCTGTGAGTTATCCGGTCAGGGCAGAGATTTTCTGGGCAAATGTTTCATCAAGGACCCGAGGAAGAGATGGACGGCCGAGATGCTCCTGAACCACCCCTTTGTCGCCTCCAACGGCGGCGCCGGATTTACCACATTGTGCGAAGATTTACCAGTCCCTTCACCTTCTCCAAGATGCCCTTTCGATTTCCCGGATTGGGTTTCGGAAAAAGAGATTCCGCAGTCTCCTCTCACGCCTTCAGTGACGGAATTATCCTCGCCGGAGTCAGATTCTTCGCCGGCGGAGAGGCTGCAGGGATTGTTCAGTCACAAACTCCCCAGGTGGACGGAAGATACCGACGGGTGGGTCAACGTCAGATGATGACTGGAGAATTTGGAAGTTTTAAATTAGCGGCTGTGATTTGTTTTTTGCCCCACAAGTCTCATATTGTTGAGATTTTTAATCAGTATTAACTGTCCCACAATTTATTTGTTTATTATTCTATTATTATTAGTTTGTTAGCTAATTAATCAGTGTAAATGATAGAGGTAGATGCAGAGGATATGAAGAAGGTAGTTTCTGAATTAAAGGGAGTGAGTAAAGATTCCATGGATAATAATATTATAATGAAAGAATTGGATCAAATGGTTAGGCTATCTGTTTCACATGTCATGCCCAATAGGCTAATAACCCTTCCATATCCCTACTTGCAAGTCTCAAGTTGCATAAAATGGCTCAACCTCCCAAGAAAATCTGGTCCAAAAGATAAAAAAGAATAAAATCCCTTTGGAAAGGCCAATCCAGGAAGCATACTCCTATTGAATTATTGCAATTTGTTTTAAAGAAGTGAGTTAGGTGCCATGATCAACTTACATGGTTGCGTAGTTCAATGGAAATATTGATGGCCACTTACAATCCATTCAATACTGCCTAGCTAGTTGACTGGTGCCAATTTAGGTGCTCCACAACTTCCTGAGTTTTTGGGATCAGTTGAATGGCTTCTTTATGTGAAATGAATTTGGGTTATACTAGATTCAGACTTATTCATTTCACAAAAAAGAATTGAATATACTACTAGATCACTTAATGAGTCGAGCTCGAGTTTGGGTATTTGATCAATATGAGTTGTTTTTGTTATTCTTTTTATGTGTAAAAATATTAAAATACACCGGACAAAGTAATACAAAAATATTAAGTAAGACAGTAAGTACTACTATAGAGATAGGGAAAGTTCCTGAAAAGGGAGTAAACGAGATTTGGAATTATTTCAAAATATGACTGCTAGATTTTCTTTCCGAAATGAGATTATCAAAATAGTTTCAGTACTAGTCATTAACATGACACTATTTATTGTCATTAATGACATTATTTTTTAATAATGGCAATAACGACTCTTATTTCGTGGAAAGAAATAGCAGTCGTATTTTGAAATTTCAAGATATATTTAATTGTATTTAGAAAATTCCCTAAAGATAACATGTACCTAAATTTCCCAAACTTAAAGTGACATACTTGGTAGAACAAGCAAGGGCAAACTCAGGATAATTATATTGAGGGGCGTATTTAGAATTTATTTCAACGATGACCAATTTACACTAGAATTTAGTCACACATTTCACAAGCACTAATTCACATTATTAATATCGTTTGATAACCAAACATTCCAGTTCAGCTGGTTGTGAGGTTACCGTGCGTAGTGAGAGGTCTCGAGTTCGAAACCCGCTAGACACATAAGGGTTTGAAACTGAGTGAAGTGAGTTTCAGTCTTGATTATTACTCCAGGCCCCTCATCCCCATCCCCCAGACGCCCCTTGGAGTAAAAAAAATCGTTTGATTAGACTTAGTTTAAGTTATAAATGTACAAGTATGTATAAAAAGAAGATCAAATTAAATTACGTGTGTGCAAAAATGCAATTGTAGATGCAATTTGAGAACATTACCTAAATAGAAGTTAAACATTATAAAATTCAATGATTTTTATCAGTTTTTTCTTTTAATATGATTTACAGAGAAGAAAACACTCATAATTCTATTTTCATATGTTTAACTCCTATTTTGACAAACTTTCTCTAAAAAATTAGGTTATATATAGGGGCAGGGTTGAGGTTGAGTGGGACAACGGTCCCCACTGCCTCCACTTACAACAAATACGCCCTTTCGCCGAGTTAAAATAAAATCTTCGTAGAGATTCATTATTGTAAATATTTAATTAAAATTTGTTAAAACAAATATTACATTTAGTTATATTTGGTGTGCCAAAATAATTTTCTCAAGGGCTAATTTTATTTTTCTCACATATATAATGAGAAAAATATTTTTCTCACATGGCCCCTCCGGGTCTCTACTGCCGTCCGCCCTTGAGGACAAGGAAAAAAGTGCAAATAATAATAATACTAAGTAGAATAAAAATAAAGGAGATGGAGGGATTGAGAAGAAATCCCGTTTAATTAAATAAACAGCTCGCAATTACCCCATAATTGTAAAATTAAAATCCAAAAGAAATTGAGTTTTCATAAACAAAATTTATATTGTGGTAAAAAAAAGTTACATTTAAAATATACTATTCTTTTGTATAAACAAACGAGTGACTCTAGGCAATTTCCCACAAAATAAATTAATACGCGCTTCTTAATTTTGGTCTTCGTGTGCATATCCGATCGAGCGTGATGTTAGAATCTTCCAGGATAGTAATATAATTATGATGAGATAAAAAATTACCAAATTCTATGAATGATTTTTACTATTTTTATTTATTTTTACTTGGTTCTTCTAGGACAGATCTTTTATTTATTTGACAACTCTATCTAAATTAAGAGATACGGATATTCTGTTCCCACTCTGCCTATATTTGTTACTTTTTTACACTTCACCCCAATCCCTAACACAATAACTTACTGTAATTTTGTAGAAAAATTACTTAAACAAGGTAAATAAAGTGAACATATTTTTCCAATATGTTGAAGGTTGATATTTTTGTATGTAACATTAGTAGTAGAAGTTCTTCTAAGTGCATGTTTGGTAGGCACAAGCCTCTATATATCTTCTAGTAATATGTTTGATAGGAAAATTTTTAATAGCTTTTTACAATATATAAAAACTTTTTTGAGATGCTACATTGGGTGTGGAAGAAAGTCAGTAACTTTTAACATTAATTAGTCACAACAGCTTGTTATATCAAACAAAACTAAATCAAACAGTCAAGTTTTTATCAAACAGCTACAACAGTTATTAAAAAATTAGCTAGTTGTGCCAAACATACCCTATGTGCGGAGTTAGAGCATTTCCAATGCAATACATAAACAATGCATACATGCCGCCATGATAGAGATAAACATATAAAAAATAATTAGTTGAATATCTCTCCCCTTATTTGCACCGTCTTATATATTTTTAGTATGCTTTTCTTTATAATGTTCGAAAATGTGGATTGTGGAATCCCCAAAGCCCAAGGACCCCACGCCCCAACCCGTCAAGACATTTGGGAGGTTGTAAGTCACAATGACTTAGTCAGTTCAATGGTGTTAGATCTTATACTTGTGCGCACTAGAGCCAGCACATTGAAGTTGTAACCTCCACACGACTGTTGCGAGTTTCGATCCTTGATCAATGTTCCAACTTTATCACCATTCAATCAATTGAGGTACCCGTACCGGTATGTTTTTTCCTTACAATGTTAAGTACAATGTCTAGATGAGACATTGTAATTGACATTTTGGGAAAATCTAACAAAATTGCATAAGACTGTAAAAAGAAGTATATATAAGTGTCATAAATTTACCCTTATGTGTTTATCTCTCATGCATTATGTCAACTAATTTTTTCACGTTCCCTTGCCCGATACCACGTACATGTCAAAACTCATACCAAAGTTGTTTTTCAACATGATACTTGGCATTGAATGTGAAAAAAATAATTTTAATTTGAGTCTCTTTAGTGACCCTATTGTTCGTTTTACCCATCTTAACCGTAAACTTTTTCATCAAACAAGTAATTTTTTATTTTACACGCTTAGTTGTGCAATAATCAAAATAAATAAGGTAGAATTCACTTTGATGGTTGCATTGACCGAAGTTACTGTAGAAGATAATTTTAGCTATTTTCATCAAATATAACTTTTTTTCATAATTCAGCTGAATCAATCAATCCAGCCACTTCAGTCAGAACTTCATAAAATTCTGAATTACCAAACACCCTCCTCTATGTGTCAAAACTTCTCTTTTGAGTGTTCGTATTTGATTTTATGGCTTAATGTTACTTTAGTGTAGTTCATAAATATGTAAATTTATATGTTTGTACTAATTTACGTATTATTACGAAGGAGTTTTCTTTATCTTCAACCACAAATGTTGGGCCATTCAACGGCCACAACACAAGCAACGCACTCAGCGACCAAACCCTTGGTCTCACTTTGGTCGTAAACCAAGGACAAGTAAAATCCAAAACCCACAACCCCTCTCGTACAGAGCCCATCGGTGATAAACTCTAGCCTGCGACCTTCGTCCAAGGGTTCTCCCACATTGTGTTACCTTGGTCAGGGATTGCCAGGAAGTTGGATCCATGAGGAATTCGAGGGTTCCGTGTCGGCGTAAGAACTTCCTTACTCCTTCACACCTAGCGTACACCATGGCCTCAAAGAGTGTGGGACTGGGTGACTGCATCGACCTCAAAAATTAGGAAAACCTAAAAACATCAAATAAAAGCATAAGCGAGGGACATACATGGACCTCAAATCAATGACATCATATCGGCCTCAAATACGAAAGAACAAATAAAAAAGCCACTCTTCAGCCAGCAAAGCTAGGAACCATACTACGATCAAATAATAGAATACACAACGTCCACAACAAATGGATCAACATCGGCCAAAAGAACCAAAGATGAATATTTTACTCTCTTTCACTTCGTCACATCTCAGCTTAGATAGTGGGGGACTCCTGATATAGTATGTGGGCTCAGACCATATAACACACATACTCAGAAAACTAGTACAAGGACACCTGACACACATGGCCTTTCATCGACCTGGACCTCCCTCGTCCAGGAAAAACCGGCTCATAGAATGTAGTCCAGAAACCCAGGAACAGAATTTGGACCTCCATCGGCCTGACACTACTTCGGCCAACGAAGCTCAAGCAGACTAGATTTTATACTTAGCTTCATGAATCATGTACTCAGCTGTTAGAGGACTTGTTTTTTGTACTGAACCTCCCAGACCCAAGTCCTGAGAGTCCAAACCCACATTTTTCCTATAAATACTCCCATAGGGGTAGTTGTAGGGGGTGAGAAATATTAATTGCTCACTTTTTCTCTCTAGCTCTCACCTCTCTCTAGATTAATACTCTATCTTAAATGATTAGTAATATCTCTTTTAACGAAATGTACTTATTTTCTAATTATCATTATTCAAGAGGTATTTTAAGTACTATAGACAACGTTTGCCTACTAAATGAAATGTTAAATTGTCGAACTAAATTGGAATTTTTATCGTCCAAATTAAACTAGATAGAACTAGAACCAGATTCAATGAATATAGATCGAACTAGAATCAAATTCCATGAATATAAATAGCAATAGAGTCAAATTCAATTACCCTACAAATCTACGACACACATCATGTTTTTCTTAAGTAATGCATATGGTTCATAATGTAGGGCTCTTAAAGGCAAGATTCATTGATTTTCACTCACATTTTGGTCCCCCTCTCCCTCCATCCTCACTGTCGATCATTTTATTGCCTCACCATCTGAGACTAAGAGGCCGTTTGACAACCCTCATTTTCGGCTTATCAGGCTTATCAGCCAACTTTTTAACCAAACACCTAAATTTTGCTTTCGCGCGCTGAATTGTGTAATAAGCCGAAAAAGTAAGGTTGAAGTTACTTTTCTGGCTGTATTGGCTGAAATTACTGTAGATGACCATTTTAGCTATTTTTACATATAATTTTTTCTTTATTTTATTAATAAAATATATTTTAGAAATATTTTTTTCTTGTATCAGCAGAATCAGCCAATGCAGCCACTTAAGCCAGAACTTCATAAATTTCAGCAGAATCAATCAAAATAGCCAATTTTCGTGCTGCCAAACGGGCTCTAAATGTATGTGATCAGTTAGCGATTTTCATCAAACATAGTTTTATTGTGATCAGTTAAAATATTCCTTTTATCAACTTATATACTCCCTCCGTTTCAGTTTCTTTGACACACTTTCCTTTTTTGGATGTTTCAAAATGAATGCCACACTTCCTTATTTCCTTATTTGGTAAACAAATCTTTACCAAAACAGTGCAAAGCAGTGTCAAAACAGCGTTCAAACAGTGCTAAACAGTGTTCAAACAATGCCAAACAATATTCAAACAGTGCCAAACAGTGTAATTTACAGTAAAATTTACCTCTAAGTAACATTTTTTCCTTAATTCTTGACAAGTCAAACTGTGTCAAACAAATGGAAACGAAGGGAGTTTATTCGAACAAGATACCATGCTTATTTATACGAATTAAGAAATATCTAAAGTCCTAATCCCTATCTTCTTCTAATCAGCCTATCAACTAGTTTGTAGTTTCTTTACAAAATAAAGGGGAAATCGCATTTTTAGTTCCTCAAATAGTCATCATATTGAAATGTCAGATTCAAGTTCTCAAGTTTATAAATGACACCGCTCAATTGTTCAAATTGTTGTAAGCGTGATCCTTTACTGGGTGACATACACAATGTGGGCGAGGAACGCATTTCACCCCTTAAAGGACCATATTTACATTAATTCGAACAATTAAGAGGTGACATTTACGATATCTGAAATACGGGTCTAACATTTCAATACGGTGACTATTTCAGGGATAAAAAGTGCGATTTTCCCAAAATTAAATTGATTTCCTATGCTGAATTGTGTAATAATAAAATAAGTAAATTTAAAGGAACTTTTATGATTGAATTAATTAAAGTTGCAGAAGATAACAACCTTAGCTTTTTTCCATATTTGTTATTGAATAATTATACATGTGATTTTTTTTTGAGAAAATTTTGTGAATAGAACTAAAACAGTGTTAAAGTTCATATATAGGACTATAATTGTTTTATTCCCAAAATATGTTTCACTCACTCATATTCTGAGAAGTTGTAATCAACTTATTCTTTTAATAGGATCAAATAAATCATATTTGAGAATAAAACATACATATTTTTATTTTTGAAATTTGTTTATGTTTTGGTCGTATATTAACAATTTCTTTATGATTCAACAATTTCAATCATGACTTTAGCCAATTGTTATTTCACAATTACTAAACGGGTTCAAAACCTAAATTCTTAGTTTGTTTTTTTATATTTCGATTTAGTTTAAAAGTGGCGGAGAACTGGAGAAGGCGTCATAGGACAACTTTGATGCAAATAGCTCTTTCAGACTTTCAGTTGCATTAAGTTTTTCCAGCCTCTTTTGCTTGAACAAGCATAAAATTAGTACAACTTAAATATGTTATAAATAAAACAATTTGTTGGAGATTTACTGAAAATTACAGCTTAAGTGTTGATTTGCGTGATCCTTAAACATGTTATAAATAAGTGTTGTGAATTACTAAATGGTGTTAAAGGAATACTTAATTGTAATTGTTGTTATGCACGATATGTAATACTATCCTCCGTTCCATAAAAGTTGCAACAGTTTGACTTTCACGTTTGCCAATGCACAACTTTGACTGTAATTATATTTATTTACGTATTAGTAAACATTAAAAAAAGTTAATATATCGGAAATTTACATTAATACAAATTTATTAATATTTTATACATAATATTTTTATTATATATATTATTAGAAAATCGTAGTCAAAGTAAGGTGTGTGAATAGTGCAGAAATTCCAATGTTGCAACTTTTATGGAACGGAGGAAGTATGTGTTAAGACTGGGGAGTTGGGAATCTGTTTTAGAAAATCTGGCGGATTTCTCAGAGTATCGTGTGATCACTTTCCGAATCTAATATTTCGACCCTATGCCTAGGTTACACGAAATTTAGATTATGGGGATAATCACTCTGAGAGACAGTCTAAAACTGAGGCACCAATATATAGACCACGAACTAGCAGTTTTAGTAGAACTCGAATTCTTCTGATTACCAAAGAGATAAGGCCAATCAGTTAGAGTTTTACTCTAACAGAAAGTCATTCTATTAAATAATTAATATGGACATTTTTATCCGAAAATAATTAATATGGACATGTTTACTCCAATCAACGAGACCCCCGCCAGGGGCGCTGCCCCTTGGACCCCGCAAGGGGGCGTAGCCCCCTTGACCCCCGCCATTTAATCGAACCAAGTTTAAATTTAATTTCGTACAAGTGTGCGCTCCGCACCTCCTAATTTGTCTAAAATTAAACTTGAACTCCATTGGTAATCTGTAAATTCCATTACACTAAAATGAACCTGGTGATACTAAAATCACCAACAATATGTAGTTATAATATGTAGTTATAGTAAATGTAAATAAAAAAACATACACTTATGAATCTACATGTAGAATTAAAGTACAAGTCAACACATGAGTTGTTGAAGTCAATAAGTCATAATCAAATAATAAATAATAATACTACGGACGATTAGAAGTTTAATAAGCGAACTTAGTACAAATTATTTTAGACTCCCAAGACAAATTTATGTGACTTCTTCATATTTTCTTCATCACATATCACAAAGGTTAAACTAAACTAACTTGCCACCCATTAAATTTGATGAACATGTCACCCCGAAAACGTTGCATATCACAAACTTATATGGATCCAAGCACATTTGATGTATGTTGAGACTTGAGATGTATGGATCATGTTATAACAAAGCTATCTTGCAACCATTTGGCATGACTTTCCAGCCCAGCTTCTATGAGAGCATTTAAAGCCGACCAGTAGAGCCTCTCATCTAGCTCAGCCTCTTCCTTCTTCATCTCCTGCAACACTTTAACCAACTCCTCACCTCTATTCATCTTTGAAAAAACCCCAACCATTAGCCCACCAATTGCCCTATCAATCTTCCCATCACCGTTCTTTAGCTTCCTAAAGTCATTATAGTATTCCACACATCTCTGGTAGTCCTTGGCCTTGTTGTACGCACTTATAATGCTTGTGTAACTAACTCTGTCGGGCAACACTCCCCGCCTCTCCATCTCTTTCCATGTCTTCTCCACTTGCCTCAAGTTCAATGGATTCCCGTGCATGTCCAAGAGAGAATTGTATATCCAAACGTTGGGCTTGCATCCTCTCTTTTTCATCTTAGCCAAAATCATCATTGCTTCTCTATGCCTTCCAGTTTTTCCATACATATTGATCATGGTAGAGTATGAAACACTACAACTGACAAACCCCTTTTGCTCCATATCTGCAAAAGCCGCTTCTGCCTTTGAATATAATTTGATTCGGCAGTATATGTTTAAAATCAAAGCACAAGTCACCTGGCCAGGCTCACACCCCTCAAATTGAAGCTCTTCTTCAAAGACCCTCACGGCTTCTTCAGGCCCTAATTTTCTCGAGAAAGCGTTCACAATGGCGCAAGAAATGCAATCGGAAACCCTAACATTTAACCGTTTCATCAAAGAAATGACAGAAAGGGCCTTTTCTAGCATTCCCTCCTCGTCAATGTACATCAACAGAAGTTTCATAAACAGAGAGGGATCCCTACTCAGCATTTTCTTGCTCACTGCTTCTTCCAAAAGCTCCTCTGCCATTTTTACTTCTCTGAATGTCGCGAAAGCGGATATTAGGGATGAGTAAAAGTTATGATCCTCCGGAACTCCTTTGCTTGTCATTTCCCTGAAGTGGTCGAGGGATTCGGAAGTGCGCCCCATTTTGCCCAGAGAATTGCATAAACAAAGGTAAATCTTTGAATGATATTGTGTGGACTCCAGTCTTCTTCTATGCTTAAACTCTTGGAAGAGCGAAACAACTTCTTCATACTGTCTCATATTGTGATATGCCTCCATGATGGTGCAATAGCACCCAGGCTCCAGAACAAGCCCACCACTTTTCATCCTTTGATACAACAGAACAGTGGTACTGTACATATGGAGTTTGTTGTAGCCTCTCATGGCATGTTCAAAGGCAAGAGGCGTCTCTTGGTGAAAAAAGGCAGATTCAAGCAAAGTATTTACAATTTTGAACTTCCTAGCTTTAACACAGCTACTAATCAGTCTACAATATGTGCCACTATCAGGGATTACATTGAATGTCCGAAAATCTTGAGCCAATGAAGAGATTGAGCTCCATTTACTCAATCTCATGAAGTACCTAGTAAGAAGAGTGAGGGTTGATTTTTCAGGGATAAACCCGGGATTTCCCTTGGCTTTCACATAAAAATCACTCCCACTTTCTGCAGTCTGAGGGTTTTTTATCAATCTAAAGATGATGTTGTTCAGATCTTCAGACTGGTATTCGGAGAGGGTGAGATCCATTATTGTGGGTTGGGACTTGGAGGCAGGTGATAGTGCATTATTGTCTTCAAAAAGCGGGGATGGACAAATAGAGGATCTAGCTGCAATGAGGTTGAGATCTCGGGAGTTGAAGCAGGGGAGAGAGCACAATGGAGTTCTTCTGCTAGTGCTGAGTTCCTTTGAGGAGTTGCAAGGAATCCATGCCACAGACCACCAGTCTGGAGAACTGGAAAGTGCCATGGATCAACCCCTAAATGGGATTATCAAACCTTTTTAGAATATACAATCTTTTTTTTATTTACACATAATATTAATCTATCTATCATTATAAAAAAGTAAAATGTTTTGTGAACACTATTTCCGCCCAAACATCCCCATGCAATAGAGCAGCATGCGAGTCCACCAGATAAAAGCCTCAGAATTAGAAATATTGAACAGAATATTGTCGACTAACTAAAAAACGTATCACCTATAGTGGAGACTTTTATTACAAAAAAATAAAATTAAAAAATAAAGACAGCATATACAGTAGAAACGTTGACGAAAGTTAATCAATGAACACACTATAAACAACCCCAATCAAGTCCCTACACCCTATTTCTTGGAGAATGTGTACAAAATATAAATAAAATAATAAATAAATTTGAAAAAAATACAGCCCATCAAATCTAGCCAGCCTATTAATTGGGACGGGTCTATTTTCAGCCAATCAGTTCTGAACATGTGTATTTTCTTTATGAAAAGATCATTCATTTTTTAAATCTACTACTACCTAGCAAACACTTTCTGAATGAATACAACTCAATCCTTCTGCCGCTTCTCATCCTCTTTTTCATTCTCAGTCTGGAATATGAAAAATATCATCTTATGTGTGAGGCTGTGAGTGATGTGTAAACCTATTACTTGATTAACTTATACAAACAAAAAAGTAATTTTTCTATAACCGTTGATTTTTAGATGTTTCAAGTTCAGGAAAAGAACTACTTTTGATTGAATGTTAAGGAAATGGCTAAACTAACTAAATCCACAGCCAAGAGAAGCTCTAACCTCTGTTTCAGTCTCTGGTGAGTGTAAATATTACTTTAGTTGTATAGTTAAAATTGTCTTTAATGTACAACAATTAGCAATGGTCACATACAAATTTTAACTTATACACGTATTAGAAAATTAACTCGATTCATGGTTGATTTTGTTTCACTGAGAAGGCATATATATACAGGAGGTAAAATATTTTGATAACAATCTTGCAGAAGGCATGTTTTGAGACATAAAATACAAAATTAAGATTAGAAAATATAGTTTAAGTGGGCTGAATTTTAAAAAAAGAATACAGAAAGATTTTAGTACTATTTCGACTTAGAGTTAGTTCGTCTGTGTGTACAGTAAGGAGAGTTAAATTAGTTAGATTGGTTTGCTCCTTAAATATAGAAAAATCATACTCCGTATATAGTATTTATGTTAGTTTTTTCAATAGTTATGGTAAACCAGTTAATTTAGTTGAAACTTATTTATAGTGAGAATAGGATGTAAAGAATAACAGTCTGCTTGATTTAGGTTGATAAAATTAAACACCTAGCATATACTCCGTATTTGATAGTTTTAAAACTCGAATCCTATATGGACACATTTATCTTTCAGATCCGGATGGATAGTAATCTATTTTTGAAGTGCAGATCCATAAAATTCCTTAATTCAAGCAGAAGTATATATTCCGACTCCAATAATTTCATAAACTAACGATTTTAATTAAAAACAAATGTATAACAGCATTTATGGCAAACCTGCCAAAGTGCCAAAGCTCAGACTGAAGCAAGGCAGCAAGCAACATGGAGTTTTCCCCTTTGATTTTGATTTTTGAAGGCAGGAGCAAGCACGCAGCGATTCAATGAAGTAAACAAGTATTAAAGCAAGTTTGGCTGAATGAGAGTGAGTTAATCAGCAATAAAGGAGATTATACCATTTGGATTTACCTTTTTTTGGTAGGTTGTGTGGTTGGTGCTCTGTTCCTCATCTGATTGCAAAATAGAGAATCAAAAGAGATGACCAATTGCTGGCCGCTGCATAGCAACTGAGGCTATCGAGTCTCGCCTCTCGTTCCAGGCTTATGAAAGCATTATCTCCTATTCCAAGTATTTTATGGAGTATAAATCCATGTTTTGTCTAACACCATACCTGTTTTACTATAAAAACGTTTATGGCGATTTTCCTAAATGATGATTGATGAGTGGTAGGGTTACACATAGGGTGAGTTTGGGCGGGTTTGCTATATTCTTTCAGCCTATCCAATTTGTTCAGTTTGACTATTAACCACCACGTGTAATGCAAAATAAGTTTTTAAATCATACATGAATAGGTCGGGTAGAGTCGTATAGGGTTGGGTATTGAAAAAAAAGCACTTCAGCTTCCATTTTTCATGTGGGAAATCAATGTAACCAATTTAAAACTCGATTAACTTATTTCCAAAACACACAACAAATACAAGTATTCGTATTTTTTACAAGCAAAAACATTAGGTAATATTATTAAAACATCCTTCCCTAAGGAAGTTCATTTAGAAAGAAACGTAAATATATAATAATCACCTAGTCAAAATGGTAAATGTTTTATTATAATTCTAATACTCCAAGAAAACATTATAGCATAATAATAGTAAAATGAACTTCAACCGGGTCAGCTACTACCGGATTTAAGATTTTAATTCCGCAACCTTACTCATTAGGTGCGGGTTCAAACATATTTAACTCATGAATATTTTTTAAAATCAAATACCCGATTAAATAGGGTTGGGTTGGGTCGGGCGGGTTATTCTTGTGCAGCCCTAATGAGTGGTACTCCGTACTTTTGTACTTGATAGAATATTATTTATTTAAATTTTAAAATTAGATGACTAAACAAAAAAGTATGTATATTACTAACAGAGTTTCCCTGGAAAAAAATATGACTAGTTATATTTTTGGACAAAAAATATGACTAGTTATTATGTATAAGTAAATAGACAAAAATCGATGTAATTTATTTGAGAGTAATAAGTCACTAGTGAATGATGAATCAATGGGAACTATTCACAACATATATCACTTTTTTTGAAAAAAATCAAAATAAGACATTTTTTTCTTTTGAATATAATTTAGTAATATTCATAGAAAAAAGGCATAAGTTAATATAAATTTAATTTGAATTATATTATAAGGAGATTTTCGGTATTTGCATCATGGTAAAATAAAAAAACACAAAATACTACTATGTCTTTTTCATAATGACTGTCTTATTTTAATTGGGAACAATTATTAATAAAGTGGTTGAAAAGTAAAATTTATGGGTGAGATTTAGATAGAATAAAGTGAAAAAAATATTGACCAAAAATTTCCAACCAAAAAATCAAACAGAAAATTTGGGATAATCCAAAAACGAATTTAAGACAATCATAATAGAGAGGAGTGAGTACATATAAAGTAGAGAAAACTGTCCAATATAGGACCAAAACTAAAGCTTTTTCCCAAAATAGCATCACATGTATGTTTTCCCTAAATATGACTAATCTTAACTTTTTTACCCCTAATTCTATTTAATTAATTAATTGATCTAAATAATTGCCCCCTAGTTTCACAGCACAACCAAGGCAGTCTGTCGGTGGTGGGGCAGTCCGTGGTGGCGGTAGCAATCCGGCAGCGGTCAGCGGTGACGGCGAACTCCGGCAATTAATTAACCCAATTAATTACCCCCCCTAGTTCTCTAGCAAAAACAAGGCAGTCTGTTGGTAGCGGGGGCAGTCCGATGGTGGCGGCGGTGGCGAACTCCGGAGGCGACAGAAATCTGACAGGCTGCTAGAAAAAAGATTTGGATTTTCCGGCGGTGCTCCGGCGGCGGCGGCCGAAGGTTCGGCAGTCCTAGGGTAGCAGTGGTAAAGGCTGTGAGGGGTATTTTAGTCCAATCACAAATAAAAACTCCTTTTTAGGATGTTTAAATTAGGTGCTCATATTTTGGGGAAAAACTATGTTTTGCTTCTATTAAGGTAAATCTCCTTACGAAGTATTACCTCCGTCCCGCTATGATTGTCCCATTTTACCTTATCGGTCCGTCCCACTAAGATTATCTCATACTAAATTTGGTAAAGTTTGTGTGGCTCTAATTCATTCTTACTTTATTCTTAGTTTATCAATTCAATATCAACCACATAAACCACTTTTTATTAATTTGTGTGTCACTCCCTCTTGTCTCATTGTTAGCGGGACGGGGGAGTACTATATATACTAAAAAAATCTTCGTAATTCGAAGGGGTCAACTGGTCAAGGGGGGCGCTCCCCCCCTCTAAATCATTTGAGCCTCTAACTCTCTTCCCTTTAACCATCTTTAACCTCACTTGATAGATGTAATTGGTGTGAACTTTATATACCATCTTTAACCTCACTAGTATAGTATCAAAATATGTGAACCCTAGAGCTGATTGAATTCCGGACACCACCAGAGTTGCATCCGTTTCCACGTACACCTTTTCATAACCTTCTTCTTGAGCCCATCTAATACCCTCTCTTAAGTCGATAGCTTCTGCTACTTTCGGATCCCAAACATCGTTGACTGCCTTCCTTGCAGCGATAAACTGCCCATGCTCTTCTCTCGCAACCCAACTCCAAGCTCGGACTCCTTTCGGTTGGTCAACTGCCGCATCCACGTTTATTTTAATCCAACCGGCCTCAGGCCTTTTCCACCTATCATTCCTCATATATTTGCTGCCCATCTTACTTGCAGCCTTTGCTTGCACCGCCTGACACCCTTCCAGCAGTGTACAATCCATAACAGCCACCCCTCTGCTAGAAAACTTCTCCCCTTTATGGCCTTTACAACGCGAAGCATCATTCGCCTTCCGCCAATACCCATTCATCAACACTTCAATCTGTTTGCATAACTCAACCGCTAATAGAAAAACGTTCATTGCATACGTGGGAAGTGCCTGAATTACTGTTTTGAGCAAAATCTCTCTACCTACTTTGGATAATAGTCTGTTATTCCAACTATGCAGCTTCTTAAGTATGCGTTCCTTTAGGAAACCAATAATCTCTTTTTTTTCGACCAACCAACACCAGAAGCCCAAGATAACGACTGGTTGCGACTTCACTTTGAACCCAAAATGCCAATCAAAGATGACCTAATATCCTCCCTACATTCGATTTGATAAAGTTAATTGATTGCCCAGACATGGTCTCATAATCTGCCAGTGCCTTCTTGATCCCCTGGCACTCAGCCTCATTACCTTTAAAGAAAATAAAGCTATCGTATAGTTTAAATATGTATAGCTTACAGTTTATCTTGGGTACAAGCCCAATATAGTATATCACCTATAGGCCTGACAATGAGCAGGTTCGGCCCTATGTACAGTGTGTATAGTTATTACATATTTAAAATATATTTGACGCAATCTTCTGTCATGTAAACTACCATTAAGTTAATAATTCATTTAAATAAGAGATTAAGGGCATCTCCAATACAATGATCCATTGCACTTCCACATCATTGAATGGACCGAACCCCCTTAACTAAAATCACATCTCCAATGCAAAAATATGTAGGTCTAGTCCACCTGAGTTGACAAAATATAAAGATGGACAATATAAGATAGGTAGGGCTACACAACAATAACCCGAACCCGCATAACCCGCCCGACCCAACCCTACCCGTTCATGCATGGTTTACCAACTTATATTGCATATCGTGAGTTAGTTGATAGCCAACCCGAACAAATTGGGTAGGCCCAAAAAATATAGCAAACCCGACCCAACCGCCCGATGTGCAGCCCTAAAAGTAGGTCTTGTATAAGGTCTCAACTAGATATTTGATTTTAAAAAATATTTATGGGTTATATTTGTATGAACCCACACCTAATGGGTAGGGTTTCGGAATTTAAATCTCAAACCCGATAGTAGCCGACCCAGCTGAAAGTTCATTTTGCTATTATTATGCTACAATATTTTGTTAGATAATTTTCAATTTAAGACCAATGTGCTCTATCTAGGACCTTATGATATCAGAATTATAATTAAACATTTATCGTTTTTGACTAGGTGATTATTATTTATTTACGTTTGCTTCTAAATGAACTTCCTTTATGGAATTATGTTTTAATACTATTATCCAATGTTTTTTCTTATAAAAGATACTTGTATTTGTTTGTGTATTTTGAAAATAAGTTAGTCAGGATTCATATCGATTGCATTGGTTTTCATAATAAAGATGCAACCCAAAATTATTTTTTTCAATACCCGGCCCTACTCAACCCGTTCATGCATGGTTTACCAACTTATATTGCATACCGCGGGTTGGTTAATAGCCAACCCGAACAAATTGGGTAGGCCCAAAAAATATAGCAAACCTGACCCAACCCGCCCGATGTGCAACCTTAAAAGTAGGTCTTTTATAAGATCTCAACTGGGATCTTCTGTGCCACCCTCTCCAAAAATCTAAGTAATGGTTGTGGGTGTTAATGCATCGTTGGCCACTTATGTGTACTTCTTTCCATTTTTAAATATGCATCTACACTCCTTGCATTGAAGTTAAATATGAATAGACCTTCTCAATTTATAAATGTTTGACTCACACACTAAATATATCAAACATAGATTATTGTCACATCAACAACAATTCACCCCAAGCATTGAAGATGCTCTAAGAGATTTATGTCAAAATCCTAAAATTCTACTAGAGCTCTTGTATTGCTTATTCCAAAAGTCTATGTACATATATTATGGAAAAAATATTTTCTGTATGATTAAAACTTTCTCACTTTTCCAATCTATGACCTAACTAGTTTTTTTTAATCAAAAAAACATACTACCTCTGTCCCATAATACTTGGCCAACTTTCCTTTTTTGGCCGTCCCAAAATACTTTGCCATTTCCATTTAAAGTAACAAATATGTGGCTAAAGTTATTTCTCTCTCCCACTGCACCAATATCAACCACACAGTTTTTACTTTATTAATCTACGTGCAAGTCAACATTGGCTAAGTATTATGGGACGGAGGGAGTATTTAATTTTGTAATATTTAATTAATTTTGTAATTTATAAATGAATTTATCACTTCATGAAGGCGTATTGAGACGTTGATCACCACTCATCCCTGCGGGATGAAGTCATTGTGACGTTGGTCACTATGACGTTAGATCATGTGGGGTAACAAGGGTGTAATGGTCCTCTTAATCCTTTTATTCTAATTTCTATATATTTTTTAAAAACAAGTCCTATTTTCTTTCTTAACTTCTCC